CATGAAGTAGTAAAAATCTATGGGAATAGCTCCATGATAAAAAATTATAAGTGCTGGTCCTTCTGGTATTTTTTCCATTCCATGAACTTCATAACCTGTTTGAAAAACAAAATGCAGATATTTAAAATACATTTATAAGTTTATTTACACTAAAGGATGGTCAGTAACTCAGAAGCTCTGTCTTTTCTTGCAAAAGTACATGAATCTTCCTGGTTCCCTTCCCCTTTTCTCCTTTCTTCCCTCTTTCTCCTTCTCTTTCATGAACAAATCAGTCCTACAGCCATTAAGGTGGACCAGAGCAAAGCAGGCACCTGTGTGGAGAGGTGGCCTGGTGTGAGGCACCAGAGCCTGAGCAGGTGGGGAGGGCTAATACCATGCAGGGTAGTAGCCTGGTCCAGGATGTTGGAGCACAAGTTGGGAAAAGAGGGTACCCATGAGTGGTAGGAGATGGTGGCAATGATGGGAGATTAGTTACATACAGGGGAATTGATCAAACAAGTCTACATATTAAGGATGATATGACCCAGGTTTTGAGCTGTTGGAGGAGGGGGTTAAAAATATAGAAAAGGAGGAAACTAAAATAAACTCTGCAACCACAAGAGAACATTACTCCTACCCCAAAGATGAGAAAAAGACAGTCTACAAAATCCTAACTTTTTTTGAGCACGTCAGAGAGCAGAGATCACAAGCAAACAGGTAAACTAAATTCCAAAGGGTGACAAGGTCCTCTAAGGAAAGACAAAAACTGAGTATCGGAGGAAGAGGCAGATGCCATAAAAGTGAATAAGGAAAGACCTGAAATGTCAACAAATACTTCAAGGCCAAGTGTGGGTTAGCATTGAGTGTAGAATCCCTGGGAGCCTCAGACACACTCATTCTCCAACTCTCCTCCACAAGCCTCACAGGAAAAATTAGGGCAGGAGAACAAAGACAGCCTCTGATAGTGGTTGAGAGAACAAAACCCCACTCATTTCCTGGAAGTCTCTCTCATAAAAGCAAAACCTGTCATATACCAGGAGAGGTGCAGGAGACCTTTCCACCCCCTCTAAGAAAAGGGCATATGCATCTGATGCTGGGAGGGACAGAACTCCACTGCCAACCCCCCCCCCACACACACACACACACACTCCTCCATCATCCCACCATCAGGCAAAAGTCTACTATTCCTAGGGAAGGGGTAGAAGCAAAATATCTGCTGTAGGGAGGCAAAAGGAAATCCCTTAGGCCCAGGGTCCCAAAATGACATGAAGTAGAGATCTACTGCTGGAAGGAAGGGCAGCAAACTTGCTCCCATCACAAAACCCCCACCTATACAAGACAAAGTTTGCCCGCTACAGGGAAGAAAGGAATGCTGAAAAGCCTCACTCCTGAGCCCCAAGAATGTGGAGTCTAATAAGATTGTAGCCAAACCAGGAACACTGAAAAGTAACCCCCCAACCCCAGTTCCCACTGCACCCTCACATGCAGTTATAAGCAAAGGTGAACCTTCTTAGAGTTGGGGCAGGAGCACGAAAAGAGACCCCTTCTATGGCAGAGGCATACAGGACTGAGGGTAGAGCAGAAACACCAAGAAAAACCCTCTGGTACTCCAGGCCCTATACTGTGCACAAAATAATAGTAGGAGTTTCAAGTCTGTGCTGAACTAAAGGTAACTACAGCAACACTAAAACCCAAACTCACTTCAACTACTCAAGAGACTGAAACAACCCCCAACTGATGACCGCTAATGGCCTGACGGGAGTGTTAATTTTCAGTTATAAATACTATTTACCTCAATCACTATTGTTTTTTTTATAAGCAATGCCTAGAAGTCAATAAAAAATGATGAGACATAGAAAACAGCAAGGAAAAAAAAATCCATTATCAAGAGATAAAGCAATCAACAGAACCAGACCCAAATGATGAAAATCAGATGGGAACTATAAAATAACTTTGATTAATAATTAAAGGATCTAATGGAAAAGATGCATACATGCAAAATCAGATTAAGAATTTCAGCACAGAGATGGAAAAATTAAAAAAGAGGCAAACAGAAAGTCTATAAATTTGAATGAGAGCTAAAGATTAGATACATAATACGAAATTACCTGGTTGAAAGCAGAAAAAATCAATTAATCCATAATTGAAAAAACTGAGTTTACCATAACATTAAACTCAGTTTACATTAATTGAATTAACATTAAATTGGTAAACTGATTTTACCAGTAAACATTAAACCCAAATATTATTTAAATGTGTCACTCTTAAAGCAAACTTGATCATACCGGCTCCCTGCTGAGAAAGCATTAGTGCATTACCACACTAGTCCGACATTTTTAAGGCCCCTTAAGTCCCAATTGCCTATCAAGTCACATTAGATTTTCATGTATGATATGAATTAACTGTGGCTCCAGAGTATACTTTTCCACCTTTGTGCTTCTGCTCATGTAGCTGCCTTTACTTGGATTACTGCCTGTCCCATGTTTCCCTGTTCAGCAGTAGAAATCTCACTGCATTTTAACTCCTCCTCCCTTAGACTCTATACTCGCTTTGTCATCAAGTTCTGTGCCTTCATCTCCAAAAACTCTCCCAAGTCTATCACTCCCTTCCCCTTCCCAGTGTCAGTTTCGAAGTGCAGCCCTGTCAACTCCTGCCTCTAGTACACCAACCCTAGGGGAATCTGATGAGCAGAGAGGCTCAGAGAAAGCAGGCATAAAGGCAATTACTGCTACTGTGCATCTGACCACTGACCACTTAAAAAACCTCAATCTGCAGATTTTACTTGGTCCCATTAACAAGAACAGCCCTATTCTGTGATGAACATGGTTCTCCTATTTGATACCATTGAGTAAGTACAAACTTACTCATCACCCCTGCTCTGATCCCATACTCACTAAGCATTTCCTGATTTTTCGGCTTCTCATGTAACTTAGACTGCAGAGAAAGGATTTGAAAGTCACATGGAACACAAGTAGTTCCTCTCCATGGCAAAAATTTATTATGTAAATGAGTTAATTGCTTTCTGGCTTTAGACATCAGTATCATGAATTCAGATAATGATAATCTCCCAAGAGATAGATCCCTTCTAAATTTGTCACCAAAAATCCATTTTTTAGCCTATATACCTACACATTATGGAAAATTAACAAGGATGCCGCCCTTTTGGATCTTCCTCAGGACAGCAAATAAAACTAAAAAATATCTACATGATAAAGTCCCAATTCCTAAGCATAGCATTAAAGATTCTTCATAACCTGTCTTCTGTTTACATTTCCAGGTTCACAGCTCATAATACTGAGACAGCATAAGGACAGGACTTGGTCAGGTCTCTCACCACTGACTATGGAAGTCCACATAATCTGGCCTGATTAACTGCTAAAGTTTCCTAATTGGCAGAATGCAGCCCGTGCCCATATAAGGAAAGGGCTAAACCACTTGTCTTGTATTGTTTCAGGACCACTGGAACAAGAACTGAAGTAAGTTGATAAGACACCACCAAACCTATCCTCCTTAAGCCAGAATAGACCCCCATACTGACCTTATCCTGACTTTTTCCTTATTATAATCTCATTTTAATGCTAAAAATTATGCCCAGGGTTGGAGATTTACCATGCTAATGAGATATACAATGCACAAAGAAGCATGTAATAAAACTGTGCAGGCGCAAAAAATCTCCACCTATATACACGCTTACAAATCACCCTTTTGCCACCTAAAGCATCCTTAAAGAAACTCTCCCTAAACTCCCCTCAGGGGGCCAGGCTGAGGACTTTTTCCTTTGTGCTGTCTCCCAATAAAGCCGTGCCTGTGACTCCTGTTCGGTTCTCTTGTTAATTTCTATCATGTAGCCCAAGAGCCCAGGCTGGTAACAGTACCTCACCCACAAATGATTCATCTTCCAGTCCCCCAAATAATAAATTAGTAAGAAAAAAATCCACCTTAAAAATGGCCTAAGGGTGTGAGTGATCAGGAAACACAAATGCCCCATAATTATAGCAGATACACAAGTATTGGACACTTAAGAATTATCACAAAACCCTCACAAAAACCTTCCACAGATGAAGAAATTTAAGTGTGAAAAACCCACATGCCCCAACCAACGCCACGCAGAAGAGCCAGGATGCAAATCCACATTTGCCTAACTTTAAAATCTGTATTCTTGCTGCATACCACACATCCAGCTACAGGTATGTATAGTCAGCCCTCCATATCCATGGTTCCGCGTCTGTGGATTCAACCGAGGATCAAAAATATTTGGAAAAAAAATTATATCTGTACTGAACATGTACAGACTTTTTTTGTCATTACTCCCTAAACAATGCAGTATAACTATTTACATAGCATTTACATTGTATTAGGTATTATTAAGTAATCTAGATATGATTTAAAGTATATAGAAGCATGTGTGTAGGTCATATACAAACACTATGCCATTTTTATTAATACATGAGGGACCCTAACATCCATCCCAAATCTATGGGAGATCCCAGAACCAATTCCCAAAGATACCAGGGACAACTATACATGCTAACCTACATCCGTGATTTTCAAGTTGACCCTTAAACAACCCAGTTTTGAACTGTGCGAGTCCACTTCTATTAGGATCTTCTTTCACCTCTGCCACCCAAGACAGCCAAGATCAACCTCTCCTCTTCCTCAGCCTACTCAATGTGAAGACAAGGAGACTGAAGACCTTTATGATGACCCACTTCCACTTAATGAATAGTAAATATATTTTCTCTTCATTATGATTTTCTTAACATTTTCTCTTCTCTAGCTTACTTTATTATAAGAAGACAGTATATGATAAATACAATGTACAAAATATGTTAATCAATTGTTTATATTATTGGTAAGGCTTCCAAGCAACAAGAGGCTATTAGCGGTAAAGTTTTGGGGGAATCAAAAGTTATACACAGGCCGGGTCTAGTGGCTCACGCCTGTAATCCTAGCACTCTGGGAGGCCGAGGCGGAAGGATCACTCAAGGTCAGGAGTTCTAGACCAGCCTGAGCAAGTCCAGAGACCCTGTCTCTACTAAAAGTAGAAAGAAATTAGCTGGATAACTAAAAATATATAGAAAAAATTAGCCAGGCATGGTGGCGCATGTCTGTAGTC